TCTATGTTGTATTGGCTGAGGAAGATGGCCCATTTCACCATCCGAGAGGAGCTAGTGGGACTCCTCATGAGGGCGCCGAGGGGTTGATGAGTGAGCACTTGGACCGGATGAGCTTGAAAGTAATGGCCAAGCTTCTTGACGGTCCAAACGATGGCTAGCACCGTCTTCTCGACGGGAGAATACCTGAGTTCGGCCTCCCGGAGGGTTTTGCTGACGTAGAAGATGGCATGTTGGATGCCGTCTTCCTCTCGGATTAGTACTGAGCTGATTGCCGCAGGGCTAACACCGAGATACAAGTATAAGGTCTCCCCCACCTTCGGTTTGGAGAGCACCGGGGGAGAAGAGAGGTACTTCTTAAGTTCGTCGAAGGCCTCTTGACACTCAGATGTCCATTGGAAGCCAGCGGTTTTCCTCATGACTTGGAAGAAGGGGAGGGCCCTCTCGGCTGATTTAGAGAGGAAACGGTTGAGGGCCGCCAGGCGACCCGTCAACCGTTGAACCTCCTTGACGTTGCGTGGGGGTTCCATGTTGATGATGGCCTGAATCTTCTCGGGGTTGGCTTCAATACCCCTTCGGCTGACCATGTAGCCTAAGAACTTTCCCCCTTGCACGCCGAAGGTGCATTTCTTTGGATTCAACCGGAGGTTGAATTTTTGCATGATGGCGAAGATTTCCCGGAGGTCGTCGGCGTGAGTGCTTGCCTTCTTGCTTTTGACGATCATGTCGTCAACGTAGGCCTCCATGGTACGCCCGAGGACAGCTTGAAAGACTCTGGCCACCATTCGAGTGTAGGTGGCGCCTGAATTTTTCAGGCCGAAGGCCATCACAAGATAGCAGAAGATGCCTTCGGGTGTCATGAAGGCAGTTTTTTCAGCGTCTTCTTCATGCATATAGATTTGATGATACCCGCGGAATGCGTCGAGGAAGGACATGATTTCGCATCCCGCGGTCTCATCCACCAGTTGATCAATGTTTGGCAGAGGAAAGGGGTCCATAGGGCACGCCTTATTCAGATCAGTGTAGTCCACGCACATGCGGAAGGTAGGAGGCTTCTGTGCAAGGACTACATTTGCTAACCAAGAGGGGTATTTCACCTCCTTGATATGTTTGATGGAGAGGAGCATGGCTACCTCCTTCTTCACGAACTCCCTTCTCTCGGCCGAGAGGGGTCTTCTCCGCTGTTGTACTGGTTTGGCCGAAGGGTCCACCGCTAGGCGGTGGGTGATGACCCTTCGGTCAATTCCCGGCATATCCTCCGGCCCCCATGCAAAAACAATGGAGTAGGCGCGGAGGGCTTTGGTGATGCCAGCCTTCAAGTCTTCGGGGAGCTTGGCTCCAATCTTCAGGACTCTCTCCGGCTTGGCCGGATCGAGTATCAAGTCTTCGGTCTCCTCGGCAGGCTCAGCTCTCGGCCTGCCTTCTTCTTCCTCCAAGGCCCTGGTGGTGATGGTGTCCACACGTAGTCCTGTTTTACTAACCTTCTTGGTGAGTTGAAGGTAGCAGGCCCTGGAGAGTTTTTGATTCCCCCTCGAGTAGCCGATGCCGGTGGGTGTGGGGAACTTGAGGCAGAGATGCCTCATAGAGATGACGGCTTCCAAATCCTCGAGGGCGGGCCGGCCGAGGATGATGTTGTGTGCGCAGTCGAGGTTGACGACGACGAATTCCACTTCGAGCTTGGCTCTATGGGATCCGTCGCCGAACTCAACCACGAGGGTGATGACGCCCTCGGCGTCTATGCTGTCCCCCGTAAATCCGGAGAGGGGGGTGTTGATGTGTCGGAGGGACCCCCTGTCGAGTCCCAACTCTTGAAAAGTGCTGAGATACATGACGTTGACAGAACTCCCTGTGTCAACGTAAGTCCGGTGGATGATGGCGTTATTGATCTCAGTGCGGATGACGAGGGCATCCCTATGCGGCAGGGAGCCCGAGGGGAGGTCCGCATCTGTGAAGAAGATGGGATCCGCCCTCGGCCTCTTAGTAGGGGGCATGCGATTGACCTCCCCAATGTAGAGGGACTGTGCCCACATCTTCCTTTGGCTCGTTGAATCGCCTCCGGTGTTGCCGCCGTTGATCATATGAATATGGCGCTTGTATTGTTGATGGGAGCCCTCTCCCTCGTCGTCGAGGCCCCCAATTTCTCGCTTCTTCCCCTGCGGGTTTCCCAAGGGGACGGTGTTGGGGTTCACCCATTTGTTAGCCTTCGGCGGAGGCCCTTGATGATGAGGGGGGCCCTGGGGAGGAGGGCCCCTGATGAACTGAGATAAGTGGCCCGCCTGTATCAGCCTCTCGATGGCGTTCTTCAGCTGATGGCAGTCGTCGGTCTTGTGTCCATGGTGGCGGTGAAAGCGGCAATAGGGCTCATCAGGGCCGATGGCATAGATCTCGAGGGGTGTGCGGGAGTCTCGCTCCACGAGCCCTCGCTCTTCTGCATGATCAAGAATGACGCTGACGGGGTGCGTCAGGGGAGTGCGTGGGTGCTCAAGGAGGACGGGTTGCGCCCATGCCTTCGGATTATTCTTGTAACCGCCCCCGGGTCTGGCTTGGCCACCTCGGGAGCGATCGTTGTACTGTGGCTCTCGGTTGGTCGGAGGGGGAGGCCCTCCGTGCCGGTTCCTGCCTTCATTCTTCTGAGAGGGGTCCGTGTTGCGGCGGTCCTTCTCGATTTCCTCCGCTTCAGCGTATCGGTCCCCCCGCTGAAGGGCCTTTGTATAATCGCGGGGGGGATCAGTAATGAGGCTCCGGGAGAAGTTACCGTTGCGGAGGACGGTGTGGAAGAGGGCCATTAGTGTCCTGTCATCAGCGCCTTCGACTTCGAGGGAGGCCTGCCTCCAGCGCTCTAGGAAGCTCCGAAGGGTTTCCTCCTTCTGTTGTCTCACATTCAGAAGGTGGGAGAAGTGCTTCTTTGAGCGGTGCCTCCCGGCAAACTGCGTAAGGAAGCGGTGGGCAAGTTCTTGCCAGGAATCAATGCTGCCTTCGGGCAACCGGTTGAACCACTCATACGCTGGTCCCTCCAAGGTGGAAAGGAACCAACGGCATAAGTATTCATCCGAGGCCCCCATCATCATCATGCTATTTTGATAGCGGCTATAATGCTCTTGGGGATCCGTCTTCCCCTCATACGGCTTGATGGGTTGCCCCCGATATTTGTGGGGGATTTTGGCCGCCAACACCCTTGGGGTGAAGGGTGTTCTAGTGCGGAGTTGGATGAGGGGCTCGCCTGAGCCTTCGGCAAGCTTACGTTTCATTTCCTCCACTTGCGCCCGGAGGTCAGCGTACTCTGGGTCTGGCCTTGCTGTGGAAGCCGTCGGGGGAGCCTGACGATTCTCCTCAAGTTGACGGAGGAGGGCTTCGATGATTTCGTCCTTGGGATCCTTCGGGGCCACCCCTTGGGAGTTGGCCCGGAAGGATTGCGCCTGATTGATTTGGTGCCTGGCGTCATCGGCATGGAGGAGGGCTTTGCCCTTGCTCCGGGGTGGAGGTATGCCCTCGGCTCCCGAAGCGGAGGCCCCACTCTCCTGAGGCCTGCTGAATTCCTGCTTGCCGAGGCGGTCTTGGACCCCTCGGCGTATGGGAGCTCCCCCAAGCCTCTCAAGTGCAGAGGTCCGGGGTTTCTCCTTCATCAAGGGACGTTTATCCCTGGATTGGGCCTCTTGGGAGGCGGTGTCCTGCGCCATGACCCCTTCGGCGTTCCCAATCCCCGGGGGAGGATTATTGAACAGAGGAGGGAGCGGTGGCAATTGAATAACATTTCCCCCAGCGTAGGGCTGAAGGGGTGCCTGAGAGGCGAGGGCCCCGGAATTGAGAGCCATGTTTTGAACAAAGGCCGCAAAGGCAGCCTGAAGATCGATGGCCGGGGCCGGAGGGGGAACTTGGTTCTCACTCCGATCCCTCCTTCGATTATCAAGGCCAATGCGGGCACCAGGGGTGTTCTTCTGCAGCTGTTGACGTAGGTCAGCGGTGGCTTGCTCTAATTCGAGGATGATACCACCCTCCGGCACTAAGAGCCGGTTGGAGGCTTCAGCCCCATTGGTTTCGCCGGGGGCTACGTGGTTCTCCTCAAGGGTTTTGGACTGGGCACGGGTGGTTCTTCCCATTTTTGGTGAGTGTTTTGTGTTTGGTAGAGGGGGAGGGTTTCTTACTTGATAGTTCGACTCTCAACGAGAGCACCAAATGATGGATAATCTACCCGGGGGTATCTTATCCGAGGGGATATTGCGGAAATAACTAGAGAGAAGTCAGAGCAAAATAGGAGGAGAGAGAGTCGATTTTATTAAATGAACTCGAGATGTGGAGTTGAGATGTAGATGATGTCTTTTACAAGGAGAAATGGGCTGCTATTTATAGCAGCAATAAATGCGATGAGAGGACGCGTGTCAGCAATCCAACGGCCGAAGGGTCACATCAGCCGGGTGGCACCGGCAGAGGTACGTTCACCGCATTGAATGCGGTTGGCGGATGTGACGTGGCATTAAATGCGGTGGTTGGCTGTCTCTAAAAGGAATCTTCGATGATTGAGCTAGTTCGGCCGAAGGCTCCTTGTGTAGCCGAGGGCTCCTTGCGTAGTCGAGGGCTCCTTGTGTAGCCGAGGGCCCCTTGTGTAGCCGAGGGCCCCATGTGACCGAAGGCTTTTCTGATGCCGAGGGCGCGAGAATGCCGAAGGCTCATGTTTTCGCCTGTTTTCTCCCAGCAGCTTCTTATGCCGAGAAGGCTATCCTGTGAGTTTTGGAGCCTCCGGCCAAGGAGGCCGAAAGTACCCCCGCGTGTATTCTGGGCTACTTTGAGGCTTGGGCCGTTGTATTTGGGCCTGAGTTGTTCCCTGAGCCTAATGGACTTATGTAGGAGAAGTAGGAGTCTATGGGCCGGGGGTTCCTGGGCCATATACTCCATCAGGAGTATGTTATAATTTCCCGTGCATCGCACGGGTACAATACTAGTTGTTCAAAAAAGAGAAAGTGAGAAGGTTTTTTTGGAGGGAAGAAAGTGAAAAAATGTTTTGGAAAGGAGGGAGTATTTCACAACTCCAGCAAGGGCAAAGATTGCATCCGCATGGATTTTTTATTGTGAATTGTGAATAATTATTTCTAGGAGTGGATTCACAAGAGAAAATGAGTGGATAATTTCAGATTTTTATGGGAGCGTATTAGAGACATTAATAGTCCATAGAAATAATATCTTATTGAAGAAATTGAGGAGGAATCAGATGTCATTCAATCAGTCGTTGGATTCTAGTAGGTGTTCAATCGACAGAAAGGGAATAAAAAGCTGAAAGCTATGAACTTTTCTCAAAAGCCGTAGCAGAACAAGAAGTGAAGAAGAAACATTATGAGAGGTGGAGTCCTTCGTCTAGAAAATCAACAGCCCTCATTTCCATCATCTTTACTCTTCTATCTATACCTTGGACACTTCCTTTCCAGATGGACTGCCAGGTTATTTCTCTCTTTCTCTATTTCTGTATTTTAATGGTTCTTGGTTCAGTATCAGTATACTGTATACAGTAATACTTTCTCCTTTGTCTTCGTTTTCTAACTCTTTAGGGAAAAGGGGGAAAAGCAACAAAATTAAGTATAGAATGAATTTAGTACTGGATGAATGCATAGTTTTAAACACATAAATGACCAAGATGAGTGAAGTAGAGCTGTACAGTAAACCCCAAACAAGGGATTGGGTTTTAGCGTATGTAGGAAATATCTTCAAAATGCATACTATACTATACTTGAATATCTATGGATAACTAGAACTACTAAAATATGGGGGATGCATGCATAGATTTAGGTAAAATTAATTTATTAGGTACAATGATCACATATAAATAGTACCCGTCTCTCCCATTTTTTCTTTTTACTTAAGATGGAAACTAAAGTCATAATATATAAAAACCATCTCAAGCAGTCTTCCTCTTATGATATTTTTCATGTAACTAGAACATCATCCCATCATTCTTATGAAGGACATACCCGAAAGGGCATCATCAAGCATATAACTCTGTCATAACGCTTTAATTTATTGTGTAAAACTAGAGTAGGATAAATAATTGCAGTTGCGGAGACAGGAAGGGGCTGGTGGACATGGCCACCCCACCAAGAAAAATATCATCATCATCATCATCATAATTTACCCCAGTGCCGCAAAGGCTCCCGCCTATCCCACCAAGAAAAATATAATATGTGAAAAATATGTTAAAACTTTAAGCTTTGGCCCCCGTAGTATAAAATTATAAGGTCCGCCCCCTGACCATACAACTCTGTCTCCGCCACTGAATAATTGACACCGGTAAATTTCATGGTACCCGCCATACTAGTTGAGATTGAGTTAATAATGTGATGATGATGGTGATGATGGTATTAGAACTTTAGAGTCTAGAGATACTAAATAAAAACCAAGATTTTTGTAATTAATAAAGGTAAAATGAACTGCTTATAATTCCACAATATTACCATTGCAATATGATTGAAGTACAAAGGTTTGAGTTTCTGGTAGATTTGAGAAATATTGACACACGTTTTTCCCAATTGCAGAATGTGGGAGTTCTCTGTGGGTTTGTATATGATCCATCTTTGGCCCAATTCTTTACTTCTTGCTGCTGTTTATGGTGCTGTGGAGACAGCTTCCACGGCATTGCTTGGACCAGTTGTTGGACAATGTGTGGACAGTTTGTCATACACTAAGGTCTTAACTTAATTTTCTATTCTAACTTTATTCGGGTCTGTTGTCTTATTAATTGGTTTGCCTTCCGATTTTGTATTTTCAGGCTCTCAAATTATGGTTAATAAGTAAAAGCATTGCATTTACTGTTGCCGGGGGTGCAATGGTTGCTCTTTTGGCTCACTCAATGAACTCTATGGCATTTTTGTTACTGGTTATATTGATCAACATCTCTGGAGCTGTTGCTATGCTTTCCACTATGGCAGGGACCATATTAATTGAAAGAGAATGGTGTGATAACAATCTATACAATAATATCCTTTCTAAGATACATTTTCCACTCTTGACTTTTCACGGACATTTTCTCTACATTTAAAAAATGTCATGTGATCTGAACTTCTTAAGTTCTGATTGGTGTGGTTTGAATATTTTTGGTCTGGATTTGGTCTAAATCTTTATGGTCTTTATCATTTCAGATATATAATATTTCTGGTCTGATCTTATTAAAATAAGAATAAGAATAAGTAAATAAGAAAGAAAGCTGAGGTGATCTTAATATTTGGAAATGCGTATAAGTCATTATTAGTTAGTCATTTCTATGTGGCATTTGCAGTAGTGGTGCGGGTCACTGTCATCAGGTGTAAATTCTCACTCGCACCATATTGCCAATTTCGCCACATAGGGCAAATTCTACTGCACCATAGTTGTATCTAAACTCAGCTACAGTTCACGTACAGCACAATAAATCTTCAATTCTCTCTTTTCACAGCACAGCACCCAGAGAGGCCTCAATGAATGTGGTCTTTCACAGTTCCACACATGAGAAAGTTTAGAGGTTGGTGCCTCTTTTTGCAGGGTGGTGGTGATATCAGAAGGCCATCCTCCTGAAATGCTGACGAACATGAACTCAATAATACGACGAATCGATTTAATCTGCAAGTTATTTGCTCCTGTCATTTCGGGATCCATCATAAGCTTCATCTCCCTAACTGCATCAGCTATGGTTCTAGCATTATGGAACCTAGTATCGGTTTGCCTAGAATACTGCCTCCTAACATCCGTATACAATGGGATTCCAGTATTAAGAGAAAGCAGCCAGAGAAGGGTCTCAAAATCTCTACCAAACAATATTGAACTTAAATCTTCTGCTCATCATGAACATGAAGGTTTGCTTAATGTAGAAAGAAATGCACAGCAAACATCTGAAAGCAGCTGGTGGATAAAAATGATTGATCAAGTTTCAACAATCCCTTATATTAATGCTTGGAAAGTCTACTTGCAGCAAGATGTACTTCTCCCAGGGTTAGCCCTATCGCTTCTCTATTTCACAGTACTCAGGTAAACTTTTAGCAAGAGTTTTTCCACTTTTAGTCTTCCTACTATTAGTCGTTCAATTACTGTGAGTCGGTGACTGACATTTTTTATTCCGTCTTTGAGTTTTTCCACTCTTAGTTGTGGAAGTGACACGTTTGTTACTCATCTTTGAATTTTTCCACAATAGGGGGACGACCAGATATGTCACTGAAAATAGATGGAGGACTAAAAGTGACATTGTCATAATAGCCCGAGAACTTCTAGTTGAAGGACTAAAAGTGAAATAAAACATTTTTTAACAACATATCTGTTATCAGTTATGTTTACGCTGTCTTTAGTCAAAGAATGATGTGGACATGTGGTTAAATAATTAAGTTTTTGATGTTTGAACTAGCTTTGGAACTTTAATGACTGCTACACTTGAATGGGAAGGCATTCCTGCATATATTATTGGAATTGCACGTGGTGTAACTGCAGCAATAGGGATTGCTGCTACATTTTTGTACCCTTTCTTGCAATCTCAGATTTCAACTGTTCGAACAGGGTTATGGTCAATATGGTCTCAGGTACTCTCTAACAGCATACTGACCTGTTTATAACTTCCATTGTCAGAGAACTTATGAAATAATGATGAGTAATCGCTGTGATCTTCTTGGGTATAGTGGAGCTGCCTCTTGGTATGTGTAGCTTCCATATGGGTACATAAGAAACTCGTATCGGCATATATGCTTATGACCGGAGTGGCTGTGTCACGCCTGGGGCTTTGGATGTTTGATTTGTCAGCCATTCAACAAATGCAGGTAATTGTGATATATCATGTTAAATATAATTGACCTCGTCACCTTGTGATTGTTGCCTGTTCAGTGATGGGACTAAGTCATCAATTTCATTTCGCATTGGTTCCCCCTGATCATTGTGTGGTCAAATTGGGTCAATTCTGTAGCTAACATTTTGAGCCCATTTGGTAACACTGAAATCGGTTGATTCTGCTGAAATTTATGAAGTTCTGGGTGAAGGGGCTGTATTGATTGATTTTGCTGATTTATGAAAACATTATATTTAAAATATATTTTGTTAATAACATAAAGTAAAAAATACTCGAGTATATGAAAAAATAGTTAAAATGGCCATCTAGAATAACTTTAGCCAATAAAGCCAGAAAAGCAACTACAACCTTACTTTTTTCTTATTATTACACAACTCAGCGCGCGAAATCAAAAGTTACGTGTTTGGTTAAAAAGTTGTTGATAAGCCCAATAAGCCGAAAAACAGAGTCACCAAACGGGTTTATCTAAATCAGTTTTAACACTCCATACTCAATATGAGACATTATAAATAGGAGTATATCAGTATATGATCAACTTCATATTTAATGTCCCTGATCTTAGTGTAATTTTGTGTTGCTTCCCAAAGTCCCGAGGGTTTTAAATCTATTTACAGGTCAACTTGGGTCATTTATGTCGCTAGATTCTTATTCAACCCAATTAACACTGTCCATTCTCACAATATAAGACATACCAAGGAGGATTATCAGATTATTGGTTTCTCTTATAATGTCCTAATATAGTGACTCAGTGTAATTCCATTTTGTTCCCAAATGGTTTCAAGCTAGAGCTAAAAGCCATTGTTGTGTTTCTTGAATAGGATCACGTTGCGGAAAATGATCGTTGTGTGGTTGGAGGGGTTCAAAACTCACTGCAATCCATATTTGATTTGATGACTTATCTAGTGAGCATTGTTGTATCAGATCCTCAGGTAAGCCATCTTTCACTATTTCAAATCGGTTAAGTTTTTTGTATCTGGCTTGAAAATGGTCCAAATACTTGGGTTTTACCATTGAAGTAGAAAATAAAACAGAACCAAATGAGACATGAAAAATATGCAATCAGGGGCTCTTACAACTGCAATCACACTATTCTGTTAACACGATCAAAACTATATAACTGCTTTTTCAATATAAAAAAGTTCAAAAATGTATGAATACTGTAAACAGTAATAAATATGAAAATAAACCTATAGCTTTACGTTTAATAATTTTGTATATAACGAGTTGGAATTTATTTATCTTATCTTGTAATTTCAGTTTTTTTTGCCTTACTACGTGGCTTGTAAATGTTTACACTATATCACTCACATTTTATGCTATTATATTAATATATGTGTAATGAATATTTTCATATATGTTTATATCATATTATCATATACTTCGTACATATTTTCCATCATTTGCAATGGAGTCAAAGACTCACTATTTTTTGTCTTGGGAAAATGATGGAATAAAGCAAAATGACTCATTAAACTGTCTGCGCTTCTTTATTATGGAGCAGCAACCAATCCATGTAATTTTTGGTGTGATTTTCACTATGGGTAATCCGGAAACAGTCTCTATGTGTTTTAGTACAAGGGTAAGGTTGCGTACATCTGACCCCCTTACCCCACCGTAGGTGGGAGCCTTTGCGGCACTAGGGTAATGATGATGATGTATTTCATAAACATAACTTAAAGTTATTCATAACAGTAACAATATCGATATGTGGTTAAGTATGAATATACTGCTTATTAGATAGCCTTATTAGGTAACAAGAGCATTTTATTTTAAGATAAAAATACAGGGTACTTAAACTTCTTTTGGACAATTAACATGTTCTTATAATAAATAAATTAACCATTTCGGTAATCTTACAGGAATGTGGCCTTGCCGTATCCAAGAGAAATATATTTTGATAACGAAGTCTTAATATGCACACACTGTTCGTACATTAAAATGTTAAATTAAAATCAAACAAAAATTTAAAAAGTTACTAGGGGTATTACTTTAATCTTTACATATTAATGATATTACCAAATACCCAATATCAGTAGCAAGAATTGACTTGGCTGAAGCAACATTGCCTTCAAAGCATAAAATTTTAGCTGTAGAAATGTAAAATCAATTAATTAGTGCCAAGCTGGAAACCTCTCCATTAGCTAAAAAACCATTACAAACACAAAATCATCTAGACTGTACAATCATATATGATCCAAACAGTTTCTCCCTATTAATCCTAATGGTTTTCTCATAAAATTGTGTGGTCCAATTGAGTGACTTCAACGCGAATCCCGAATACACAGCTCCCAAGTGGAGAAGCATCATAGTTTTTGTCTATCTTGCCCAAGGGTCTCACTGGCTCTTGGCATTTTTATCACAATGCATTTATTGAGAAATTATGCCTTTCATTTTCTTTTATATCTGAAAACCGTGGCAATCTATTGTATCATTGAAAGCGGAAGAGTTTAATTAACCAATTGTTTACCTGCATTACATACATATATATAAATACTTCTGTTGCATTTTGTTTAGGATTTCTGGGAGTTGATATTGGTGTCCTTCATGTTGGTGACTCTGGCAGCCGTTTTGTACAGCATACACATTTACCGCATTAGGAAGCACCTTTTCCATTTTGAGAAACTACCGTTTATCGGTCGTCATTTCTATTATTACATCAGTTTGGCCGATGCTAACCAGTTGGGCAGTGTCTGAGTGCTATCCGAACCATTGGTTGGCGTCACCTGGCCACATATTAATTTGTAGTATATCGGGGGGGGGGGGGCAAACACTCACTGGCACCAAAGAAGTGGTAACGTCGATGATGCCTACTACGGAGTTCTTCGTATATCGTACTCCATAGTATCTTGACTGTAAATTCAGTGACCCTTTTCACTCTTACTTCTAAAGAATCAGTTCAAGTAACATTGGTCTTTAAGTGTTACAAAATGTACCACTATTAGATCAACAAAGTGTTATATGGAAAAGGAAGTGAGTTAACTATTGCCGGAATGACTAACATGTGTGTAATATATTTAAAAAGGAAAATTTTATAATAATAATCCCAATTATTGGCAGTCCCCTCATAATAATTCCAACTTTCAGTTATTTCCGAATAATCCTTACTTCACCGATCTTCCACCAATAATGGTGTCACGTGACAAGCTACATATTCGGTCAATTAATAAAGAAATATCATATTATAATAATTCAAACTATCATCTGTGTAATATATTTAAAAAGGAAAACTTTATAATAATAATCTCAATTATTGGCAGTTCCCTCATAATAATTCCAACTTTCAGTCATTTCCGAATAATCCTTACTTTCACCGATCTTCCGCCAATAATGGTGTCACGTGACAAGCTACATATTCGGTCAATTAATAAAGAAATATCATATTATAATAATTCAAACTATCATCTGTTGACTTTTATTAGATCTAAAAGATTAAATTAAATTTCCATAAATAAATACAAATGATAAAAAAGATACACCCTCTATATTTAAAAGTTTGGTATACTTTTATGTCTGAGATGTATTTAAAATTTTGCTGCATTTTTCCTTTTGGTAAGTTTTTCATTTAAAATATTCAATGACCCTTATTTTTTCTACTTTTTATCTTTTTCTCTCTACTTTTTCACCTTCTTTCCTATTTTTTTATACTATTCATTACTGCTACTATTTCCCCTAAAATATACTTCGTATGTGTCAAGAACAAATTTACTGATCTTTTAATTAAGGGAGTAATAAATATTTATTTTTAATTAATTAACTTTTTAGGTAGAGTATAGAATCAAAGAATGTGAAATATATAACTATAGAATATGGAGAAATTTTTATAAATTTCAAAATTAAAATTTTATCATACGATGTACGTAAGATATTATAGATATATAAAGAATATAAAAATATATAAATAAATAGAGTAAAAAGATCAATATAAAACCTTGAATGAAAAATGAAATTGAAAATTAAGTACAAATTCAAATTCAAAAAATGAAAACCTTGATTTTGAAGATTAAAAAGTGCAAAACATAAAAAATAATAATACTTTTTTCTAAATATTAAAATTTTAAAAGCTAATCATCCTAAAATATTAAATCGTTGATCGTTTCTAGTAATAATTAATATATGAAACAAAACTAGTTGATCCTTTAAGTAATGTTCAAAATATTAATATGAAAAGGAATTAATTAATACTCAAGGAAGAATATTAAAGAAAATGAATCCTACTATAGTTAATATCAAGATGTTAACTAATTGTCATCTTAGTAACACTCCCCAATATTAACATAGAGGAAAGAATAGCTATTAATAAGACCAATGTCAAGATGTTAATTAATTGTCATCTTAGTAACACTCCCCAACATTGATATAGAAATAGTATTTAAAGGAAGAATTAATATTCAAGGAATGAAGTTAAGAAAATAACTCACAACTTTAATAATCAACCAGCTTCAAGAGCAATACCAAGAAATGGAAGTTTAGTTCCTCATTTGGAGACTAAACATGCTAGAAGAAAATATAAAGAAATGCTATTCTAAACTGAGCTTAAGAGTATAAAGGAAATTGGTATCTAATTGTGAAGGGAAGGGGGTGTATTTATAGGCTTTTTGGGAGTGCAGTTCGGATACCCGATCGAGTATATATAGATACCCGATCGGGTATGTGTAAAAAGTGCAGTTTTGAGGCTTATTCGATCAAATTCGGAGTGAAAATAAAAGGTATACCCGATCGGGTATATAGGTGTACCCGATCGGGTATTACAATTGATCGTGGCCAAATCTTCCCCTGCACACCCTTTTGTCTCCTGATTGATCTGATTGAAAGTACAGTTGGTACCCGATCGAGTATATGGTATACTCGACCGGGTACAGGTCAAAAATCAGGATTTTGCCTCCTTTTTGTCTTGAACTCTTGCACCTTCCTTCACCAATGATCATTTGACTGATCTTGGACCTGTTTAAGCTCAGAATGATCCTAATTTAAATGAATTACTACTAAATTACAAACATAACTATTACACCAAAAGTATGTAATTTCCGAAATATTAAACAACCAAAACTAACTAAAAACGTGAACATACACACGGAAATTACATGCGTATCAACTCCCCCACACATAGTTCTTTACTAGGCCTCGAGTAAAGTAAAATGTTTCAAACAGTTTAAGATCTTCCCATGAGTTCAAGAAAGAAAGAAACTAAGATCACCAAGAAATAAAAATGAGTTTACAAAGTACATTCTTCTTCTTTTCTTCTCCTCTTTCTTCCAAGAGATCAAATGAGTTCCTGCACACAACAAATATTTCTCTCTTATCTCTCATTTTCCCTAGGAGCCTTTTCAGGTTTTCATCCTAGCATCTCTTTTTGTTCTTTCATCCTCCCTAACTCACTCATTTTTTTATAAGCCATTTTTTCTTAGATTGCCCATTTTTGGGTTTTCAACCTAACTAGCATTTCCTTTTTCTTTTATTTCTTTTTTTTTTTGTTTACGAAGAGTAAAAGAAAGTTCATGCATAGTAAAGGGTAGAAAATAAAATTACATACCATGAGGAATCTTCCCCCTTCTTAGTCCAAGCACTGTCCCTAGTGCCCACCTTCGCCGCCATAGTAGCCGCCTCCAAAGCCTCCTCCAAAGCCGCCTCCGAAGCTCCCGTCGCCCATGTGAGCATCTCCGTCGTCTCCACCATCATAACCTCCACCCCCGGAGCTAGATCCTCCAAAGTTACCCTATTGAGTGGGGTCATACCAAGAGGGGGGTGGGGGTGGTTGAGCCATAGTGTGGAAGGAGCCTTGATGAGCCATGTAAGAGTACATAGGTCCATATATAGAACCTACATTGATCTTCTTCGTACCTTCGGTTGTCTTCGGCCCGTTGCTCCTCAAGTCTTTGAAATCCTGCCCTTTGTTCCTCCCGATATCTTCCAACTTCATTGGTAACTTTGTTGAATCCTTCAAGTAGTTGTTGGAAGTAATCGGGTGGTGGAGGGACTTGGTTCTGTTCGGGAATGTGGTGAAGTACAACCTCGGGTTCATGTTGTTCGGCTTGAGGTTCTTGATCGGGTTGGTTTTCGGGGGGGTTTTGGGCTTGAGGTTCTTGTCGGTGTGGTGGGAGGAGGTGTGGGAACAAGTAATGGGGCACATCTCTATTGTAATGGAGTTTGGGGAGGTCCGGGTTAGGCAAATGGTAATGTCTCACCGGTTTTGGGTGTATGAGCCAATTGTATACTTTTGTGTAAACCTAAACACGTGCCAGGACTTCGATTTTAAAAAAAGAATACATCTAGTTTAATCAAATTTGGTCTAGTATAGTGTGATCTGATATATGTTTGATATTTGTGTATTTTATAACTATTGAAGTTGATGCAGTATGTTTAAATCCAATATTTGTAAGTCTAGACTAGCTTGTTTAAGTCTAGTTTGTTGTGTTATGATCATATATTGTCTGGTTTGCAAATAAAAACATCCTTATTGCTGCAATTAATGTGTTAGGATGTTTTTAATTGTACTAATTTTAGTCCCAGACTAGATTGAATCAGATCTAATCATACTTAAACAAATCATAGCAGACTAGATTTAAACAATTAAAAAGTACACAAAAATAGACATCTATCACATCATATCAGTTCAAACCTAATTAGACTTTAACGGAAAAGGAACTTTTAGTCCAAGTAAAAACATCCTTACACCAACAAGACCACATAGATACCATCATAATTCTATTTGCATAAAATGTTATTTTATGTTTTTCCGTTTTGTAAAAATAAATTGCCACCTCATCGCAGATCATTATTGTCACAATTGTAACAATAAATAGAAATCACACTGCTTATAGTAAAAGTGGTGTCCAACTTCCGAGCACAATATATGTGGTTAGGGTGTTAATTAAGCAAGTCCTGATAAGTTACTCGAGACCAATTTGGTTCTTAGTCGGTCTTAATTTGTCTCAATTAAAACTGAACTCAAATTTGAATTCCATTCGACTCGAATCAAACTAAGTCGATCCTAAGTAACATACAAACTCGACTCGAAAAGCTCACAACCTACTCGATTATGAGTTAGTGTTGTTGATTAATTATTTTATTCATTTATATGACATAACATCATATATTTGTAATATGAATCCATCCATGCATAACAGATTAACAGTTATACTTATCTTTAAAAAATCAGCTATCCTTATCTTCTAATAAAAGTACATTACGGCCTGTTTGGATTGAGTGTTGAGGAGTGTTAGTAATAGAAGTGTTAGTAAGTGTTGATGCTAACACTTGTTTGGGAGAAAAATCAAGAGGTGTTAAGAAGTGTTAGTAATGGTTAGGAAGTGTTAATAATAACCTTCCCAACACCTCAATTGTCCATTTTTTTAACACCCCGATTTGGAGTGTTTTGAGGTGTTTGACAATTATTACCCTTCTCATTTACCCGAAAAACATAAAATACTTCGACATTTCACTTTGAATGTCTTTCCCACGGGTCTGATGGTTTGATTTTTCATCTCTTCTCTTTACTCGTTTCTTTTGCCTCAAGGTAAAATTATTAACACTTCCATTATTAACACTTCATTCATTTGACTCTCCCAAACAAGGTAAAATTATGTCTAACACTTACACTTCCCTTCCCATCCGAGCCCTTACTAACACTTCCATTATTAACACTTCCAAACACTCCATCCAAACAGGCCCTTAGAGATTCACGTATTACTCAACGTTTTAACCGATATTCTAAAAGTGTTATGCATAATATAGGCATTCTCAAACAACACTCAAGCAGATTTAAGTAGCAGGATCAATTGAATTTAGTTCATCTTAAGTTTAAAACAATGTTTTTATGTTTAAAAAAATATTGATGATTGCTCACATGTATTTAGACCAATAACAAATCAAACTCTTTATTTAAGATTTTCTTGAATATGTAAAACTTGAATACAACCCAGCTCAAACTCGAACTCAACTCGAATCAAACCGTGATTTTTTTACTCGACTAAATACTTGACTTGAATTCGTTTCTTTATCAAGTCTAACTCGATCCAAGCCGAACTCAAACTTGACTTGCTTGATTAGCATCTTGAGATAACACTTTGGTTACTTGAGAGAAAAGTGATGTAGTTTTTTTGAGCGATCCAAACACAAGTTGATAAATTGATAGAGATGGTAAATAACACAATAGTTTTTTGGCAAAGATTCTGAAAAATATTATGGGCCATAGAGTAGAATTTCAAATAATGAGAAAATATAAAAAAAAATGATGTGTTTCTTTTATTCATTGGGCCATGCTTCAATAAATTCCCGCCACTAAGAATCCAGTAGCCCAAACAAGATGTCAAAATAAGAACATCCTTGCCAAAAGGGTTATATTCATTGATAAATTGTGAAGAGTTGAACCATAAATAATGTCTAAATTGTGGGGTACCAAAGGCAAGCATAAAATCCTGAGATATGAAATCCAAAAAATGAAACTAGCCCAATTGAAATGAGATATAATAGAAGTCCTTACCGTCACTATCGGTTTGAAATATTGAAGAACATGTTCAAAACTAAATAAAAGGCCCTAAGAGGATTGACCGCCTTTACAGTCTACACCACAATAAATTTGGGGAGATGAACAATTACATATATAAGCCAAAGAGAACACTAACAAATGACAAATTGAAGAGAATCATTTTGTTTGATTATTCTTGGATAGGTTACGTTAAATGAATCTATGAGGTGGAAGATGAAAGGAATCGATAAATTTATAAAATCAAGGTTTAGGGCATCCACATCCATAAATTATTTTTGAGATCATTTTGATGATGTGGAAGATTTTTTTGGGGATCATGGATGAGGAGTTGAGATAATTTTATGATATTATTTGATAAAATAATCTGGTATCAAATTCCAAAGCTGAATTATTTTGAGATTATTTCCAACTTCTAGGCATATACTTATAATTATGGTGATGACTAGCTTTGTAGTTCGTGCATGCTCACGCTCCTATCCAAGGTAAATTAAGATTATGAATGAGGAGAAATTTATTGGTTTGGAGATTATTTGAGATTATCTTATGTGGAGGTGACATGGCAATAATAAGTCATGAAAAACCGTAAAGTTGAAGATCATCAATGTGGATGCTTATCGATTCTAAAATAATACTGTTATGTTTTTATTCTCATAAAATTATGCGTTAAAGTTAATACTCCCTCCGGTTCTTTTTAAACTTCAGTGTTTGACTTCACAGTTATTAAGGAAATAAAGTTGACTTTACTGTAGAGTACACTGTTGAGACACTGTTTGGCACTGTTTGACACAGTTGAGACACTGTTTGGCACTGTTTAGCACTGTTTAACACTGTTTTGATGTAGATTTCTTTGCCAAATAAGGAAATAAGGAAGTGTGAAGTTTATTTTGGACCGTTCAAAAAAGGAAAGTGTGAAGTTTATTTAGAACCAGAGGGAGTATATCCATAGGCCATAACAAAGGAAAATCAAAGCTTGGTAAGAATATTACGTAGTACCGTTGAAAACCAAAGCTTGGTAATAATACTAGTACTTTCTCTCTACACGACTTTTACAAAGGTACAAAAAAGGGATAAGGGTCATATAGGGTCTCGAACTTGGAAAAAATGTCAGAGAAGCCATATTTAGGATGCTATGTCCGGCTGACGCCATTTGGGGCAGTTCCCGGTGGAATTTTTTGATGAATTTTTTTGAGAATCTTATTCATTAAGTCTAGTTTACTCATATCAAATTTGAAATAACAATTCAATCGGAAAGATATTCAAATGAATTCTTGAAGATAACTGTGCTTTTAACTGACCCTTATCCCTATAAAAAACAGTTGCCCTCCATCAAATTGGGGCCTTGTTCGCCCGCACCTCTTGCACAGTGTGAGAACCAATCCCGGTTATTGCTATGATTGAAAAACACTGTCATTAACAGAAATAAATATTATCATGTTAATGTCAAGTACTTCAACTATTTTGACAGTAATGATTCAAAGGTGGCAGTAAATACTGCCATGTTATTTCTATTTCGAGAATAAAAACATGGCAGTATTATTTTGGAATTGTGAAACATAAAAACTTTTCCCTAAACAAATGTGTAAATGTATTCACACATGTGCCTGTTCTGCACACTCCCTAAATCTCACCTAATTACTTTTATTTTATCCATAATTTGAGAGTTAGTATGTAATTAGAGATAATCCGAGGAGGGGTTGGGCTGGGCAAGCATTTTGTTGGGGAGGGAGTTAGCTCCGGTCCAGTAAGAGACGGTACGAGTCGTGACCTTCCCTGGGCCCTACCCGCTTTAGCAAAGTATGGAGGTACACCCCTTTTGACCCCTTTTATTATCCGTACTAACGTATCATGTACTCCGTATCATGTTTGTTTCATTATTTTTCTTTTATGAAAGAATATTTGTTTTATTATTATCATCATCATGATAAATACTCCTATAGTCCTATATACTTTAGTCTCTCCGTTCCACATATACGGAGTATTATTCTACTAGTACTTCTCTTGTCTGTGTTGTGCAAATTTCAAAGTTACGTTCGAGTTATTCAAATTTACAATTTTCACTTCTCCATTAAAAAATGATATCCTAAAAAACAGCAATAATAATACTCCGTACATCTTTGAAAAATTTACATTGTCCAAAAAAGTAACTCTTAAAAATTACATTTATTTGTCAACAATGTATTATAATACATTTGTCAATATAATAATATCTAAAAGTACATAACATCTTTTTGAAAATATATAATTTGAGGAGGGTATTATTATTACTCTGTTTATTGAATTGCTTGTTTCTTAGATTTAATTTCCATACAATAAAAAACAATACTCCCTCCGTCCCCGAAAGAAGTTCCACATTTGACTTTCACACACTTTTATGCAAGTAAATTTACCAGGGGGTAAATTTTATTGTTTTGACACTGTTTGGCACTGTTTGACATTGTTTTGCACTGTTTTAATGTAGATAACTTTCCATTTAAAGAAATTGGAACTTAAATTAGGAACATCCAAATAAGGAAAGTGAGAACTTCTTTCGGAGACGGAGGAAGTAGTTTCCAATAGTAGCAGTATTTTTAAAAATGCAATGCACCTTCATTCTCACCACTGAGGGAGCGGCCATGCATGCAATTATAAAAATGGGAATATTTTAAAATATCTTGTAATTATAGTTTATAAAGAGACATGAAGTAATATAGTACAGAGTAATATATAAGAAAAAAACATATGTAGTAATATATACTATGTCCATTCTTTTAATTTTAAGTTGTGTATTGGCAAATGTCAAAGTCAAATTGATTTTTTTTATTAACCCCAGGGGCATCGGGGGGATTTGGGGGGCCATGCATGCAATTATAAAAATGGGAATATTTAAAATATTTTGTAATTATAGTTTATAAAGAGACACGAAGTAATAAAGTACGGAGTAATATATAGGAAAAAAACATATGTAGTAATATATACTATGTCCATTCTTTTAATTTTTAGCCGTGTGTTGGCAAATGTCAAAGTCAAATTGTTTTTTTAATTATTAACCCCAGGGGGCATGAGGGGGGATTTCTGGGGCCT